CTCCTCATATTGAATTTATTATATTCATATTCTCAACGTTATCGATCATGATATTGTCTCCCTCAAAATGAATTGACCATGAGTCGAAACGTTAGAAAATATTTATATAATAAATCTGACTCACGGTGCCGTGCCAAAGATATATATATATATCTTTTAATTTGTTCGTTTATTCCTGCTTGAACAGGATCATTATCAGTATCAGCTTTTCTGGTCCACTGCTGGATAAAAGCGGCTTTATACTTTTGCTATCTGTCATTTAAATATACAGAGGCGTAGATACAGGGCTACTAATATCGATGATAATCTGCCAAAACGAAGGTATTTCCTGCTCTGACTAAGCCGTAAATCAATTTCAATGCATACCAGTATGGACGAATTACGCACAATAGCAATGAAAGAGTGCTAGACAGTTCTCATGAATGATTCATGTAGAAGGCAAGATTCTAGTGGAGACGGATCCGTAAATGCACTAGATCGAGAATCACTGATTTTCTGAAAATCTCAGTTCTGAAAACCTAAGTCAGAATTGATTCGCTTCAGTGTGGCTATTGCGTCGTGGACGGAGACAGCGATAAGATCTACGTTGGAAATACCGGAAATATGGGTATCAACCCCGGCCTTTAACGTCTCAACCCTGGACAGTATACTTCTACACTAAATGCTGATATAGCTTCTTGCATTTGCATTTGAAACTTGATAAGCAACCAGGTTAATATCAATCAGTCAGCTTCATTTAAGTGAACTCTGAGGCACATTATAAGTTGCCCAAAATCTAAATATAACAAATAAACAGATACATAACAAGCAGTGTAAAAACGATTCCTATCAGACAGGCCAGAATTTCCTGGGATGATTAAGGCGATAGCAACCGAAGTCTCACAGACCAAGAATGTTGTCATCGTGGGTGTGATATAGCTGAGCTTCTTTTAAGGGAACGAGGCTAGTTGCTGTAAAGCGCCTTGAGCTCGTGAAACTTCTGATGCATGGACCTGCAGTTGTAGGAAATTATCACTGGGAAATGCAGGTTTCTTCCGAGTGTTCTTTTCGTAACATTCTGCCGTCCGTCTTTTCTGCCACTTGTGGTATTCAGAATACTTCCACAGTTTATCATAGAAGGAAACGAAAACGAAGCGCCAAGAAACCGAGATCTTGGTATTTGCTGTACATGAATGCGTGTTTAGTTCATACACATGACAGGCCGAACCGTGAAGGACAGACTCCTGAGTTTTACGAGGCTTCGCCACAGATCATGGCCTTCTTCTGTCCTATCCGGATTTGGAACCGACAGTGACGAAGATACTAATCTATTATCATGAGGCAGACCGATTTTAAAAGAGCAAATATTGCGGACCCGAAACTAGATTTGTCACTCTTGATTTGTTCGTCATAACCGCCGAGATGAATGTTGTAAAATGAGAAAGTGATTTTTCTTCCTTTACACTGTCCATTTGCCGTTTCAATCAGGTATCATCATATTTTACTATAAAATAGCTTATGTTGCCAGAGATTTCTCATGTCCTTAAGCTGGTTTCTTGTTAAATTACTATCATATTGTAATCACACGATGTCGCTTAATTCTTTCTTTTTTTCTGCCATATATGCTGTCATTTTTGTTATCTATGATATTTTCGTTGTACCTTTCTGCATGGTGATAAGTATTGCTTATCGATTATGTCGTTTAAGTAATAAAAGCAGTAGAATCTGTAGGGGTTCCACATGTCGGGAGATCTACCACTGAGGTTCTTCGCGTGATCATTCGTTTAATTTCATCGAGTCCCGCCTACTTGTGAACTTTGATTTGTCAATTTTTGACTGACGTTACCGTCCGTGATTCGACAGTTTTTTTTCAATGATTCATCTTCACACAATTTTATTGGTCGAAACTTCACAAATACTACCACCTACTCGATACTTCATGTACTCTAATCCTCGAGTTCAAAAGTTGTGTCGGTGCCGAAGGCGTTTGTCGGGATGGATAAATTGCAGTATTTATATGCACTTTTTTTGCCGTTTTTTATTTTTTTTATTTAGCGAAAAAGTTTCGGAAAAAGCCCATGAAGCAGTAAACTATATTTGTAGTTATCTCTATAACACACTTCCGCGAAGGAAAGTCGACGCTTTCGGCGAAGAATTGGAGTCGTTGATTATCTGCTATTTCGACGACATCCGTTTGAACGATATTTCAGAAAGTATGATTATTTGTTTTCTAGATCGTGTTTAAAAAATAACATCATTGTGAGTAACATTTAATGTTAATTAAATGTATTAGATGGATTTTTTACAGACTTCTAAAGGTTTTTCTCAACTTATGATTATTAGGCCTTGTATTTGTTTTTGATCCTTTTCAAAGTCATTTTTTCGTAGATTTTATTTTTTAATCGACTGCTGCTTCGAATATTTTTCAATTGCAGCAACAACTAATAAAATGAATCGTTGATTCTCCTATGCCACTATTCTGTTTAGCGTCTGAAAAATGTAAAAACTTATTAGTTTATGGAAAATTTTAACAGTATCTGACAGATGTGCAGTATTTCAGTCAACAGGAGTTTTTGAACCAGTGTTTTTAGCGGGAAACTGAATTGTTTGACGAGCTTCATTGGGGTTAGACTTGTTACATGACCATTATGGGCGAATTTCATTGTAATTATCATTGTATTCTCGATTATTTTTACTTTGAACCGAGTCGCAGTGTTCAGGTACTTGTTCAGCTACAGCTTCAAGCCGCTGATTTCGAAGCCTCTACCTGACAGTGACGATTGTTTTCTTCTGTTCAGGGGAATTATAATATTATAATTATAATACACGCCTCTGAGTTGCGCTGATTCGGCAGATTGTGTTTGCCTTCACCATCCTAGCAAGAGATGTTTTTTCTCCATTTCCTGATGCCCTTCACTAACTACTTCTCTATTCATCTCTATTTTGCCAGTTAATCTGCGTTTTCCAGTCAGATTATTTGGCCATTTGACATCGTATAAAATATCGCCATGCTTTTTTAGGAATTAATGCCTACCTGTAATGCTTTCTTATGGGTTTATCCTTAGCGAACAACGGGGTCTCTCACTTGTTTTTGCCATAGTCGCGCTGGCCTGCCTCAAGATTCGTAATTATTTTTTTACCGGGGTAAATACCCTTTATGGTAGTGCGTCTTATCTGCAATTTCTTACTCAAGTAGTTGCTCACATTAGGAGGCTAAGGAGGGATTTATGAATCGGGGAGGGGAAGAATAGTCATGCTAAATGCCACTGAATTTCAAATACCTATGTAAACTAGGAAATTTTGACATTTAGCAAGTCTGTATAATTATCAAGTCATTTAGTAAATGTCATCAATTTTTTTAAAACAGGAACTTCTTAATTTATAAGTGAAATTTCTTGTATCTTTTAATTAAGGTTGTTGTAAGATAACAGAAAAAAAACAGTAATTATATATACTCTTGATTTTTGAACGATTTTTCGACTTTGGGCCCATGATTCCTCAACGGATTATTTTCTTGATGGATGTCTAGCAAACCCAGATGTAAATCAAAGATGGAGAGGGCTTACTTACAGTCTGCTTTTAGTAAGACGTCCTCATCTACGTTAGGTTTCTTAATCATGCATCAAGTAAATAGTCCTTCTTTGAACTTAACTGTTAATTGTAACCAGTAGCTGTTAATGAAGGTTTGTGTTTTCAACGTAGTGCCCCCTATGGTGATTTTTGACTGTAGATAATTAAAACACGGCTTATTTGATCTATAGTGTCATACCGGGATATTTGACTACAACGTCGCTATCTGCTGAATAATCCATTGGAATAAGAGTCCAAAGGAGTGGTCAGTTTTTTTCTACGGTATGGCCCATTTTCAAGGTGGATCAAATTTTTATGAATTATGGCAAGCCGTCAAGTTGAACACGTTTCTTGCCAGAAAATAAGTGCACCACTTATTCTTCAGAAATGAAAATTTATGAAACGATTATGCCCACAGAAGTATGTAACAGCCTGCGGAATACTTTGGCAAAAAACAATTGAGCGACGGTCAGGAATTTTGCGTTTTACATTATTGATTTAACCATTTTAATTTGTTAAAACCATATCATTATTATATTGTTCCTTATGCGACGTATTCACTGGTTTCTTTTCCAGATGTTCCTGTCTTGAAGATGCTGATCAATCTTGCGGGGTATACTGATCCACTCATTTGGGCTGCAGTTATTAATGTAGCGTTGAACTGGAAAGTTTTTACAGAATGTTTTCCAGGTATGTAAGTGGTATGTATATGTAATACTGCCTATATGTAGATGAACGTACATATGACGTTTGCAAATTGAATATTTTTTTGCGTTTGGGATAGTGTTGTCCCGCATTTAATGTCCTGCACGGATATTAGTGCCATGGGCTATTTTTTATATGTATATGTGATATTTAATAAGGATCTCGAAATTTAATTTTCTTTGATAAATTCCTGCAGATACAATAGAGTTGCGACCTGTTTGAATGACCCCAAAATAACTAGAAGCAAGAGAGCGATGTAGTACGCCTCTAAACCTTGCCTGTGAGGGATCATAGTCAATTAGCAGAATCCGGGTATGTAACACCTTTTGCTTCTAGTCGCTTACGGCTGCTGAAGAAAGCGACGAAACCATTCTGTTTGAGCGTCTTTATGCTGGATATTGAGTCTATCGAAAGAAGGGTAGGAACTTTGCGAGGCAGAAAATATCATATAGCGTAGCCGAAAAGATTTAATCCTATATTTTCGATATGATACAGCAAATATGCAAATATAACATTAATACCTTTCATAATTTTAACTGTTCTTTTGAGAGATTCGAAATCTAAAGCAGTCATTGGATATTTATTCTGTCTGAGGAAAAGGAAAATTTCGAGTGGCGGAATAAATGTGTTCATGTCCATATTTGTAGTAGTATGTGCGTGAGTATCTTTTGTACACATATCAGATAATTAATTTCACACTATTCAAAATTTTACTTTTCTTCTGATAGACTCAAAGTTCAGACTACTCCCTGTATAACGCAGTTTGGCGAACAAGAAATTTTCTATACACCTTTACGAATCTCTCTTTGATCCGCAACACCACGAGACACTACAAATTTCCGATCGCATAGATTTTCGTTGATAGCAGATACCGCGTGTTAGCAAACGGGATTATGCCTAAACCTTTCAATGTTGGTTCTGGTCTCCCTCAAGGGCGTATTTTGTTCCCTCCTTGTTTAGGATGATCAGGATTGTATTGCGATATCTGATTATTGAAAACTGGAGAAAGATATCGGCTGGTGAATTGGAACTCCAGCGGCGTTCCCGAACTGTTTTGAAAAAAGTAGAGTCGAGTATGAATAAGAAGCTTCCCCTTCATGTCTATTTTCATCTTCATGCTCAACTGTGGTCATGAGTAGTGGACCATGAATGAAAACTGCGATTCCGGGTAGAAGCGGCTGATATGGGCTTTCTGAGACAAATCACTGGACTCACTCCTCTAGTCATGATCTGATGTTCAAACATCCGAGTGAACCTTGGTGCAACTCACTACTTCCTACTTCTTGGTTTGGGTACGTTTTGCGAATGCTTCTAGAAAAGAAGGTACAATGGCTACTGCTTGCTCGACCGACGGGTCTAAGAACGGCCTGAAGCAAGTGGCTCGAATCATTTAGCTGTCCATTTTGCTCTTCGGGTTGTTTTCTACTGAAGATCAGACGCTGGCTCAGGATCGGGAACGTTGGAGACATTTTCGAACGCTAGTGCCTCCGCGATGCGACCAGAAACGAAGGGCAGCATCGAAACTGACTGACTGACAATGCAGTACCTCGAAGTTAACGCAAACAGTGCAATTCGTTTCTAGATTTGTATTCGTAATATCACCCTCAAACCGACTGGACTGTCATAAAGGATATGAAGACCTCTTTTGACTCTATTTGCGTTAGTTTCATTACGGCGACTGCCTTCAGCACTGTTAAGAGGCATTCTCTGCTATAACGGTATCTTGCATTGCTTCATGTTTTGCCCTCCATGCGTTCCTTTTCGACGCGGTATCTTTTTATGTTCAGATAGCGTTATGCTATGAAAAGTATGGCCTGTATATTTGCAGCATGCACTAAATATCATGGAAAAACCTCCGAGTATTTTTTACTGACTGACGTTTTTTAGATGACATGGTAATTACTGTTTCTCCAATGGAAGTTACCTGTCAAATTGGCAAAAATGCAAAGTCGGTCTGTATTCACATGCGTGAATGCAAAGCTAACTGGGGTATGAAGCCGCATCATATTAGCATCGCTGAATGCAGGAACTTTCGAGCTCGATCGCCTCTCAGCGCGTTGAACACCCCTCTTGCTCCTGAACCGGAGGCGATCTTGCCGAATCATAAGATCATTTCGTACAACGAACTTCAGTTCACCGTCGGCTCATTCGCAGCTACGCGTTTTGGTAAGGGCTTTCAATTTTTTGTTTAATAACTTTCCAATTTATGTGTTTATATTTCTTGACCGTTTGATCGTCATGATTTTCTTTATCACTGACAGCTGTTGCGAACGTACAGAGTTTTCGTGTCTTCCGTACTGGATGTGGGAGGGTAATCGGGAAAAAAATCTGCAGTTGGTTGGACGCACAGAAGCTGGGATTTAATCAGTTTCACTGGAACCACCGACGCCGAATAACTATTAGAACCACCAAGAAGTTTTTGGGATCTACAGGTTGGTTAGTGTTTGAAATCGCTGAGGTCGTGAGATTTTCTTGTGCTTGTTTCGACTCATTGGTAATCATGTTTAGATACGTGGCTGTGTGCAGGGGTGAATTTATGCAAACTCTATGGAAGTGGCTTTATTGAGAAATTGGCTCTGCCAAGTCAAGCCAGACAGGCACTTCGATAGGACGGCAAACTCAAAATCTCACAATCTAAAGGTGCCAGTTCGAGTTTGCCTGATTTCACTCGCCATGTACCACTTGTAAGTACCATATGCGTGAAGCAGGCATGTACTATGCTCTAGCCGCAGCCTTAAGTCACGGCACGAATGCATCTTGTGTTGATCAACTCAGTGACGGGGTATTGCATGCATGCACTGCGATCTATTTACATGGAACATATTTGAGTTATATTGTATGACTCGATGTATGACTGGTACAGTAATCCTATAGGTGAAGATTCGTGCAAAGCAGTTACGGTTAGTTGTCAGTTCTAAAATTTTTGAGAAACATCAAACAACAGAATAGAAGCTGCATAGTATGTCCAGAGCCTAACTTGGATATTGCCTTCGAAACAAGGAGACATGGAACTTCCGGCTGATTACATCGTTAGAAAATCCCTTCAGCCGACTTGTCTTCATTGTGAGGACGCCAGTCAACACTCGTCCGGTCTTCTCCCATGAGCGTTTGTGGCATGCAGTTGTTCAGCGTTCACTCAGGGTACCATCCGTCATGAACAGTTGCCGATGTCTCTATAACCTTCATCCAACCCAGCGGATTCAGAAAAGCTGAGCATCTTGAGACGTTTTGATCATTCTCGGATAATTTGATTAGTGGCGGACAGCACCTCGATTTCAACCCACTCTTGATGGGCTGCTGACAGCAAGAAATTAAGGATATTTGTTCAGCATTATAACATCAATAAAAATGGATATTGCTGGCCATTATGGAAGTGCATTGGAGAACCAGTCCTAACGGATAAGAACACTATTCGTCTTGTATTTGAGATCATGTTTCCCGTGACTTTCTGCAGAATCAAACACGTGTTTATGTGTTCTCGTGATTTGTCTCTCTTTCTGAAGCAGTTCCAAAGTTTGTGCTTTATGACTGTGCTGGGATGTGTTTATCAAGCCTTACACCCATGTTTTACCTCCACCACAGGACTCAGTGAAAATGGGGATACTAGAAAGCAGCAGCAATATTGCCTGGAAGCTTGTCTTAAATTTAGTGCTGAATTTTCCAGACACCTTGGCGCAGTGGTGAATTCAGGATTTTCATGAAGTATGGTACTGTCCGTCACAGCTTTCGACTACATTTACTTTAACGTACTACGTTATATAACGTTTCTGTGCATCTCACCCTACTGTGCTAGTCGAAATCTGGTGATAACGCGGTTAGAACAGACGTCGGTTGAAAGCCATGGGCAACATCGCCTTATTGTGTTTGTGTTAACGGTGTTTGTGTATTTTTGAGCTTCACTAACGTTGAAGCTATACATGGAGCTGAGTCTTAGGACGAAGCTGTATGTGCTCAAGTTGATTTTTGTCTCCATACCCAGCTACGGTCATGAGTGACAAAATGTGATCTAAGGTACAAGCGGCTGGAATGGGCCGGGCTTTGCTCACCAGTCTCGACAATGTCTGCAGTTCGCATATCGGATTGAGCACTGGTGTACAGTCCTACAGTGGCTGTTTCTCCAGATTGAGACGTCACAGGTGCGATGGTTTGGACATGTGTTGTCAGTGCTCCAAGAATGGAAAGCGAAACAATTTGTAGTTGCTCAACAGACTGGCCCAAAACCCAAGGAACGGCCAACGGTGACCTGAGGTAAGTATCCAGAACAACTCTGCTTTAAACTCCGGTTATGTTTTCACGAAGCTAAAACGCCAACGCAGGATAGGGGACGCTGTAAAAACTACCTGACGTGTCTGCCTTCGCGACCAGAAAGCATAAGCTGTAATCGAAACTCACTGAGTATCTGACTGAGGTACACATAAACAGTAACTGTAGATATCACAAGAAAGCATAATCCATTGAGCTTAACTGAGTTTCAATTCACATACAATGATTTCGATATAGCCATCATCAGTAGTGATCATTTTTTGAAGCAGTTTTCTAACTCATCAGAATTGTCAATACCTCAGTGATTCTAAACCTGACTTTATGTTCCATAAAAGAATGTAGCTATGGTTACTCGGTAACAATTGTGACTTGATCATGACATGACCCATTAAGAGTAAAATGTATATGAAAAAGAGAGGTGGCGTACTTCAGCGAAAGAAATAAACTCATCAGAAACAACCTCTCGAGAGTATGCTTATTATCAGAATGTCCTGCACACTTTCAGGCGTATAAATTATCCGAGTACATCATCGTAGAAGCAAAAAGTCATCTGCCATCAACGCTCCAAAATAAACCGGTCCACACTGAAATACTGCTTAGAACTAAGGGAGATAAAACTCGTCCAGCATTAGTAAATTTAAGTTTTTCTTTTCAGGTAATACGAAACCGAAAGCATCGCAGGCCAAAATAGAACATTTGCGAGATCTGCGTTGCCAACGAAGCTGCTGTTGGAACACCATTGACTCCTTCGATATGGAAGGTGGTAGTGGTTCGGCTGCATCTGGTTGCGAAACACCGCAATCGTTTGGTTCTTCTGACGGCATTCATAAGAACTGGCGACTCCTCAATAAAAATGAGTTGTCCCCCAGAAAAGATGGGTCGTCTCATGATGCGATTTTGTCGACCGGTTATCTGGACATCGCTCAAAACACTTGCGATGTCCAGCGTACTTCGTTTGGCAATTTGTAAGCAGTGATCGTTAGCCTTTCATGCTGTTCTGTGGCGTTCCACAAATTATTTCATCAGTTATGATTGATTTGCGTCAGAGTTGTTATTTTAAACACGTTTAATTTTTTCACTGTTAACGATGCGAGTAGTCATCGATGTTTGTTTCTATTTTGCGCGGTTATTTTACAATTTTGTTCATTGTTTTTTGTTTTACTTTGTTCTGGTTAATTTTTTTATTCAAAATTTGTTACTGTTGCCTTTCTAAAATGCATGTTATTTCGAGTTATGCAGTTTCTGATTTTGTTGACTGCTTAAATAAAAAAGTATATAAACTGCATTCGTATTATATGGCTCCTGTAGGTTGTCAGATTTTAAATACCATTTTCTTTGTTGAAGTGAGTTGTGAGAGACTCAGAATTTTCTGTGATTGGGTGGCATAGGTAAGAATATGCTAAAGGTAAGACATCGTAAACTATTATATTAGTTTTTAAGACTTCTGTTCAGGAGTTTGCCCTTACAAGCTGTTGTACAATAACACCTCAGTGGCCAATGTTACATCGCTGCAAACAACAGAGCTGGCATTTCATTGCAAAAAAGGATTTTGATGGTTAGCTTAAAATAATGCGATTAAGTTGGCTTCTACATTTATAACTACTTTTTATGTCCATCGCACGTTGCAGCCGCATGACGAAACATGATAGGTATGAAATAATCATCATGCTCCCCAGAAAAGTTTCCCAGGCGTTAACGGCAGTGTGATATCATGATCGCCCAATCCCTTTCAGAAGTTTGAAGGTCTACATTTAATGGAAAATTTTCTACCATTCACGTTCCACTCTAAAAATTTGATCGAGCCACAGGCCTTCTTCAATTTGAGGTATAGCAAGACTTTTCGATATTCTAGTTTTGTGGTGGATGTGAACTAACCTCTAGCAGTGGTATATGCCTGCACACACACCTGTGATTTAAGTTCCTTTTCCAAACTTTTTTTGACTTCGAGGTACTGAACCGATTGCCCTTGTTTTGTTCACGGCTAATTTGCCTGCTTTACACAATCTGTTATGAGCATACATGTCGATCAAGCAACTGCGAGAAAAAATCCGTCTTACCATCAGTATTTCTGACGGAACCTCTAACCCGCTCCATGATAACCTAAAAGTAGTGTTGATCACACCTTCCTTTAAACAATTTCCTATTTACAAATATCTCTGCACGCAAAGAACTCTAGGGCACATGATTCCAACTTTCGCCCGGCACTTCAGAATCCTGGAAGGCGTATAACCATTTAGAATTTCTTTTGCTATGCAACTACCGCTTATGTTTCTGCAATAACTTTGTTTTCACTTTTCTAGTTTATTTAATCG